ATTTTTTTGGCCTGGTGGGGCCACATGCCCTTTAGCCTAGCCCTCAGTTGAAGACAATTTTTGTATCAAAACGAGCTTTTTTTAGCCCTTTGGCGGGGTCGGTTGAAGATGACCTTAGACCATCTCCAACTAAAGGGGCCAGAGGGCTGAAAATAACCTGAAAACCGTCTTCAACCGGGGCAAAGCCAAAGGGCTCGTGGATCCCACGGGACAAAAAAAAAGGCCAAATGGCCAACCGGCTGGCCATCTTCAGCCAGCCCACTTTTTTTTTTTTGTTCTTTTCCATTCGCACAGCCCACCATTTTTTTAAAATTTTTTTACTTTATATATATATAGTTCTAATTTTTTCCTACACCATTTCTCACATATTTTTCACCATTCCATACTATTTTACCTCACTTTATTTCAATTCTTCACATTCCATACTATACCTCTTTGGCCCTTGATTGGAGACCGTTTTTTGTGACAGGGCTAAAATGAGCCCTATGGTCCTTTGGCCCTCAGTTAGAGATGGTAAAAAATATGGCTCTGCACTGTTCATTAAAATATTAATTTCTTGGAGGGCTAAAACAAGCCATTTGGTCCTCCTTCGGTTGGAGATGGTCTTACGAAAAAATTTTGAGGTCTGGCACCCAGACCAAGTGTCCGTGAACTTCAAACACGAACACCACAACATACCTCACCCTTAATTTGTCATGCTAAACCTAGCCCACTTTAGCCCCACCTTCCCTCTCACATTAACCACAATCTGATTTTCCTACCCAAAAACTTCTCGAGCTTACGTGAGCTTGTGGTGGGTGTAAGCATGAGGTGGCTAGTCTATTGTGATGAGTAAGTAGAGCTACTACACTGAAGGGGAAAGGATATAGGCAAAGAATAGGAGAGCAACTTATATAAAACGGGTTCATTGTCACATGGCATCTTTAATCCAATAGTACAATGGCATGTGTTGAAAACTTTACACGTGTCAGTGTTTTATGCGAATGAGAAGCCACGGTTGAAAGGGTTTGTATGAGTTAAGATTAAATTTTTTATAAATTATTTAACCGTGCATGTACATATAAAGGAAGATTATAAGAATGCATGCACATATTAAGAGCAGAAGCGACGAAGCTGTTATTACTCAAAATTGACAACAAGAGTGATTCACCCTTAAAATTGACAACAAGGTCAACACAAGAATAGTACGGTTAACTCTTCGTAGTCTCAGTGTATAAAGCTAAATAATTGAGAACAAGAGTGATTCACCCTTAAAAGTGAGCTATGTCCACAGTTACGATCTTGTTTGGTTCCTGAGAAAATGGTGGAATTTTCAGAAGAGAAAGCAATGCGAACAGTAGAATATGCCATAATACTTGGTCAACAAAGACGTATACAAGCTTAGGATTTAGGATGGATACTAATTAGTTACTTACAATGGATATTACTAAATATATTGTTAATTCTCCTTTGATTAACTGCAACAATGGGGTATGTTCAAGTATTGCCTTTCATTGATTCCTTGAACACCATATTCAGAGTTGATGAAGGTGCAAATTCATATTTAGTTAAAGCACAATCTAATGTGGCAGGCTTCTGTCAGCTTTGGTAACTAGAGCATTTGGTTATGCATACGTAACAACAATTGCATGCTCAATCACAACACATGCATATATTGAGAAACGCTGGCCTGATAATAAAACTTATACTTCTCTGGGATGAGCTTATTTCCTCAATTATAAATACTATATTTTTATTATGAAATTTTTTATAATCAGAAATGTTCAATTTTTTAATCTATCATCCTTATAAAAATCATTCGAATAAATGGATAGTTCATTATTAGTATGTTACTTGATACCTACACCGTTGATTTATATAATACATTTGAATTACTAAATCTATGTCCATGCGCGATTAGCTCGTTTAAATCTCTTCACTCCCATAACCCTTCAAGAACCCGATAGTAAGCATGTGTTGGCGAGTCAACTGATTTTAAGTCTTATGAATGAGATCCGAGCTACCCAAAACAATTGAAGGGCTTTCCATCCTTTTGCAGGCTAAGTAGAATTTTGTCGTTCCTGAACCGACAAGGGAAGCTACTGGCAATCTTCTCCTTCCCATTACAAGTGGATAATGAGCTCAACCCCCAAAGTGGAATGCAAGTATTATTCTAAACACAAAGGCATTTACATAATTTTAAAAATTTAGTATGCACATATCCCATCTTTTATGAATATGTCTTCAACGTATAAATTTCATAATCGGAACGTCCATTTTCTTAATCTCAGTTTGAATGACTTGGGAATTGGTTTCCTGACTCATGGGCAAATAGAGGTGAAAGTGAAACCCATCCACCCCTCTTGGAAATAGGTATGAAAAACTCACCCAAAATATGACTAAATCCTAATCTGAATCATCAACTTAAAAAAAGAAAAGTTTGCTTGCGTGGGATGCTTGCCAAAGGGTGTAATTTGTTATTTACGATTCTTGAGTTTCCCCTAAAATAGTTTATCACATTCAGTCTAAAATCAAATCTTCTATTTAATAAATAACTATAGCACTTAGTACTATGGTCTAGTGGTTCGATTTTTTTTCACTTGTAAGTAAGTGGTCTTAAGTTCGATTCTCCTTAAAGGCAAATTCAAATCACATTATTGCTAGCTCATTCCGAGGTTAAGCCCACCCTCATCTCTCTTCATGTAAATAATATTGTATGTTAAAAAAAAAAGGAAATTAAATAAAAAAATTAAATTAACTACAGTTTGTTTTTTAATACACACGATATTAATTACAGTACGAGAAAGAAGGAGTTGGCTAAGCCTGACTATAGGCTAGACATAATAAAGTATACATATGCTGCACATACATCTCGGATACGAAACTTGCCTATATTATATAACATATTTAAATCTTTTCCCCTCCCCTGACCAAAAGTAATTGTTTTAAAAAGTATACATTTTAAAAATAGAAGGGGGAGATGAAATATATGTTAATGTGAGTCGTAATTGCAAATATTATAGGAAGGATTAGGATTTGTAATCTCTTAGATTTAGTTTCTGTATCTTTGTAATTATATTCTTTGTAGAATAAGAAATATACACATATACTGTAAATTCTAGAGAATGAATAGGTAACGAAGTATATTATATTCCTTGTGGAATAAGAAATATACACCTATATATTGTAAATTCTAGAGAATGAATAAGGTAACGAAGTATTTATCGTATTTCTTCTTGGCATCAAGAGCTTGATTTTGTTCAAAATTATAAATAATAAACCGTGCACAAGTGTTGTGTTTTTGCAATTATGCACCGTGTATAATTGTTGTGTATCAGCCATATCTTTTTGTTCCGTGAGTTGAGCAATTTCTGTTGGGCCGTGTATTGGTGTGTGCTGCTTCCTATGTTGTGTGTGTCTCTGCAGTGGGTGCAAGCTTGTTACGTTAATAATATTTAGGGTAAATTACACATAACTACTTTAATTATTGGGTCATTAACAGTTTCATACCTCGTTTTTAAAAAGTTTCAATATCATACCGTATCTTCAAATTTGTTGCAATATCATACCTTCCGTCAATTGTCTATCAATTCCTCATGTTAAATACTGACATGTCACATTTTCTATTAAAAAACTAATAAAATATTATTAAAAATAAAAAAATCATTTAATATTTATTAAATATTAAAATAATAATTAATTAAAGAAAAGTTACTTAAAACAATCATTAAACGTTAAATGATTGTTTTTTTTGTTTTTAATAATATTTTATTAGTTTTTTAATAGAAAGTGTGCCACGTCACAAGCCATGTTAGCATTTAACAGAGGAATTGACAGACAACTGACGGAAGATATGAACATTGCAACAAATTCGAAGATACGGTATGACATTGAAACTTTTTAAAGACGAGGTATGAAACTGTTAATAACTCAATAGTTGAGGTAGTTCTGTGTAATTTACCCTAATTTTTGTCGGCACCTGGAATCTATTAATCAAGGATAATGCTGGGAGACTAATAGACAAAATTTGCGAACAAAATGATGTGTCACTAGTAAAAAAATAAGCACGTTTATCAACACTTAAGCAATATCCAATCATCAACTTACATGTCATTTAATTTACAAAATTTTATCTATAAATTTAGTTTTTGTAGCATTACATTAATCATACTTCATCGCTTTTTTGGTTCAAGGTTGGGTGGCTTCGTTGCCTGGGATTTGGGATTTTTTTTAAAGGGTTTTTAGAGTAATGTTATTCATACCATGTTTTTGTACCACATTTTTATACCACATGTGATGTGGACAGCCACATCATTTGAATTAATCAGATTTTTAAATTTAGTTTATTATTTAATAAAATAATAATTAAGAAAAACTAGTTAAGTAAATGATAATTGTGGTATACGAGGAGTCTTTCTCCTTCCTTTTCTTGGGTTTTGCAAATTTTTCAAATGACGTGGTTGTCCATATCATATGCCATCTATGGTGGTATAGAAATGTGGTATAAAAACATGGTATGAATAGCATTACTCGGGTTTTTATCACAAATGGTCTCTGAAATTGACCCCCTCCATCAAGATAATCCCCAAAATTGAAAATCAATCAATGTAGCTCCTGAAAATGGGGTTTCGCAAATCAATCTAGTTATTCCATTATAATTCCGTCAAAAATTCTGTTAAGTGATGATATGATCCATAACTGGATCCTATAAATCTAATTAAATATGTGACGTGGGTTAAAACAATTTTTTATTTTTTGTATAATTAAAAACTTAAAAAAATAAATAAATAAAAAAAGAAGACGAACGCATCTTCTTCTCGTCCCAACTGAACACAATCAAACCTGCACTACACCCAAACCCCTCCTCACGATTTTAATTGCCAATACATCAACAACTTTGAAAAGTTTGGTGATGGAATTGATAGAACAATAAGCCAAAAAATTAGCTAATGCTTCTCCACCCCCGTCATCACCTCCTCCAGCATAGCCACCACCTTCTCCACCAGCTGCCTCTCCTTCGGCTACGTCAGAACCCCACCAGATGCTTCCCCACCACCTCCATCAGAAGGTTCCCCCTCCCAAATCTTCCCCAACACCTCCAGCAGAAGCCTCACCTCACCTCCACCTAAATCCACAGAGTCCCCACCTCCTCCAGCTGATGTCCCGCCCCCTTCGTCCGATTCTCCACTAGCACCACAAGGAGAAGCACCAGAAAAATCTCCTCCATCCCCCACCGTCACACCTCCTCCATCTGGTTCCAAATCTGCTCCTCCACCAGCTAATAACTCACCCCCTGCACCCACGATGCAATCACCACCTCCTTCGGTCCCTTCACCCCCTGGTACTTCGCTCCTTTAACTTCCCCATTAATTGAGAAATTAATACAATAAGAAAGGATTGGGTGTGGTTGTGTTCGGGTGGGAGGAGAAGAGATTGACGCATCTTCCCTTTCTTTTTTATTTATTTTTTATTTTTTAACCTTTTTATAAGTTTTTAATTATACAAAAGATAACATTGTTTTAAATATTGTTTTTTAATTATTTAAATATTTTTAATCCACGTGGCAATATTTAATTAGACTTGTATGACCCAATTATGTGCTATGTCATCACATAACGGAATGTTTTACGGAAATGTAATGGAAGGACTAGATTGATTTGCAACATCCATTTTCAGGAACTATATTGATTGATTTTTAATTTCAGGGATCATCTTGATGAGATGTGTCAATTTCAAGGACTATTTGTGATAAAAAAAAAAAAAAACCTTTTTTTAAATGAGGTGGAGATTGTCCTAATCTTCCTAATCAAGATTGGGAAATCAAATGTATTATATTCGTATTTTTTGTCTTGTTGTATATGGAGTTGTATATACAGTTTATGTTATAAACCGTATACCTTCTTAGGTCTTAAATTATCGAACACCAGTTCAAGAGCTTACTCAACATGTTCTAGTGGTTTCTACAAATACTTTTTCACCTCGAATCTTTGGTTGTGTGATCTATGTTCATATTCAGAAAGCTTATTGCAACTTGATCCATGTTCACTTCGCAATATCTTTATTGGATTTTCCCCACATTTGTCACGCCCTGATCCCGGGGTCGATAGAAAAACTCGAACCCGAATCCGAAATGTGAGTTAAAAAAAGAGGATCAAAACAATCTTAATGAAAAACCAGTAACAGACCTGAAATAAGTTTTTAGAACCCAATGGATCAAGAGGTAGAGGTATTCCAATGTCTGATTTTAGCCGATTTGGTGCATCAAGTCGACCTTACTATTTTCCCTTTTTTACTAAGATCCGAGGTGGAAGCAAAGCTGCTTGGATTCGATATACAATGCCTTTTGACGATGGGATTTGTCTACTTTGTTTTTTCCCTTGCATCTTTGTTGCTCTTACTTTTTTGCTACTCCAAGGGACTTGCTGCTCAATAAATAAAAGGACATAGAAACGGGTTGGAAAATAAATTCCTCTTATTAAAATAATTCATGATTCTTAAACAAATCTAGAATTCTTTACAACCTACAGTAAATATATGAATAAACATTTTATTCTCACATCTAATCCGATCTCATCCTGCCTACCCTTTTGAATGTCTAGTTCGTAAACCTGCATAACAATAGAAGGATGAGTTTCAATAGCTCAGTAGGGACATAACTTTATCACAGCAAATTGACAATATTAAATTAAGTGTAATGAAATCATATAGCCAAATATCAAATCATAAATGATAACAATGCATGTATGCAATCCAACCTCTTCAGCTACACCCGTTAATTTATATAATAAAATACGCAGACTTGCACGTCTCATACCATGCATTTTACCACTGCAATGGTGGTTCGAATGTTCTATTATAGAAACTAACCCCCATACGATATCCCAAGTTCATAAATCCTTTTGCTAGTCATCTTATCTAATTCATTGATCTCCAGCCAAAATCACCCACTTCGACAATTATCCTGCTGATATCCTATTCTACTGTGCACACTAGGCTCGCCTGGAACTGGTTTCACAATGAATAGATTCAACTACACAAAAGATCATTTCCAACTACCCTCATTTCTCGAATTCCAATCTCAATACTGAAGTTCCAACCGCATCTCACAACATGAGTGATGCACAAATAATGTCATTTCATTTTTCATATGTATCACGATATATTCTCAATGAATAGCATTCCATCAATAATTCCATAACCAATAACAAGTAAACACTTAACTAAAGCCAAAAAGATAAAAATATTATAACATTTCACGAAATTTAATAAAATCAATTTCTGTAAAGGTCTGCCTTAATTATTTCCCCTGCTTGGATTCCAAAGCTAGCAATAATGTAGGTTAGCTCCATATACCAATGCCAGACCTTGTGAGACTTTCATTTTGATTTTTCGCCTTCAGTTCAGAGCTTTGCAAGCTACAAATTAACCAGATATGTAATCATGTTTGATTCATGATTCAGACCCCATCCTTTTCGATAAACCACTTCTTCCTTTCTCATCCCTACCTTCGTTCTCTCTGCATGCCTTTCTCTCTCCTTGTCTTTGTTTCTTAAGATACTATGGCTCGTTTACTAATCCGTAATCAGATTGAGAGGAATTGAATTGAGGAGGAATTGAATTAATGAGGAATTGAATTGAGGGGGAATTGGAATAATGTAGAATCAGAATCAGATTTTTGTTGAAGTTGTTTACTAAAACTAACTGGAATCAGAATATGAATACTATTGATCCACATAAATTGTTTACTAATTGTCATGAATCGGAATGAAAACTAATGTCATTACTAAAATGCCCCTATTCTAAATAATCTATATTATATGCTAACCTTTTTTATCTTTAATAAAAAATTTATTTTATTTTTAATTTATGTGAGAAAGGCTTTTTAAGTCCTTTTAAATCCAAATCTAATCATTCTTCTTCATTCTCTGATCTGCTAACAAAACGCCTCCTCCCCACCCTCTCACTCACGCTTGACCGTGACTACCCTCCCTGAGACTCTGACCATTCTTTGCTCTCCCTCCCTACCTCACCATCAAGGATTCAAGGTAAGCTTTCTATGTAAATTTTTATTTTTGGTTGATTTGATTATGTTGCGCCCTAACCTTCCCTATGCGGCTCTGCATAATGATTCAAGCTAATATGTTCTTGAATTGTTGATCTTTCAAGTGTTTTAAGGATGCCCAATTGCAATCTTTATCCCCTATAAATTCTAACGAGAGTTTGAATTTGCAGTATTTGGAATTAGAATCGATAGTCGAACCCCAAATCGAAAGAGTTCGACATGGCAATGCATGGGGCGCAGAGAGGCGGCGGCGGAAGAGCACAGAGCTGTTGGAGAGGATGGTGGAGGACAACGAAAAGATGGAAGGGAGTGCTGAAGGTGAAGGGTGCTTTGGGAAGAAAAATTTCATTCAAGATAAAGCCTTCTCCCTGGAATCCAAATACTACCTCCGTTTAAGTAATCCAATTCCGTCAATATCAGGAATTGAAGTCCTAATTTTACATGGGTCCCGCAACACTGTGCATTTCGGTTGAATTGGTAAACGGAGGAATAATCATGAATGGGGAATGACTCCCATTCTGCCATTTCCTTTCCCCATATGTAAACACGCCACTAATGTCTAAAAAAGAATCAAATGTCCCTAGGAGAAGGCAGCAGCTTCCTAGTGTGTTGAATAAGCACTTAAAGAACCTTGCTGGCAACACCTCAACCATCCTCATCCATATATTTCTTATGCCATCTAAAAATTCTACATGTTCAGCTTGAAAGAGTGCTTAGTAAGCACTACTAATGGTTGCCTTTGAAAGTTGACACAACCATCAACACTCCTACTTGCTAGTCATTCTAGCAGCTGTACGTGGCAAGTCAACCACATCTTGGCTGCCACATGGCTCTCATTCATTGGTCCACATGAAAATTAACTTAAAAATTCATCCGATCTCCACAAAATAATCCAAAAAATGCTATGAACTCGTAATGGCGGGCACAATCTTTTCATATATACCTTCTCAATAAATAATCTGAACATATTTTTCCAAATATTTCTCTTCTTAGATAATAAATTCTTGGGATCTCACAACATTAGAAAGGAAGTGGCATCGATCTGCTTTTCGCATAAAATTGAACAGATTTCCCCAACCTTCGTCGCCAACCTTCATCGTCAAATAATCTTATTGCATAAAATTTAATAGATCTTCATCTCCCCAACCTTCCGCTATGAGCTGCAATTGTCCCCTAAGCTCGAGCCACATTAAAGCAAGCACCCTCGACGACTTGGCCACAACGATGATGCCGAAGAAGAAGAAGGCAGAGCCTAGGGACTGGATGTCAAGGTTTAGCAAGTGAAAGCTCAGATTGGATGTCGGCTCGCTTCTTTTTAGTCCTGGTTAATACCAAGTGAAAGCTTGGGACTAAGTAACAAGGTTGAACGAAATGCAGAGGGTCTATTAGTCGAGGCGAATCCCATTTATCCTAGTCCAAGAACAACTAAATATAGGATTATAATCCTAGTTAAGCCCAGTCCTTGTTGAAAAGTTGTAACAAACGCACCCTCACTCTAATAAAAGATAAAAGGGATTACACAACTAAGGCCAAATTAATCATTTAAGAAAAGTTTTCTCAAGTTTTTATTTATTATTTTGTTTGGGTCTGACTATGAAATTTCGCAAAGTGTTGAAAAGTCTTCTCAAACTTCTGTTGGCAATGAATGCCCACAAAGCTAAAGTCATCTGCATGGGCAAAGTTTTCAATGCCCATGCTGAATGAAAATGTCAGAGGAACGTTTTAAATTTCAAGATGCATTAACTGCATCAGTTCGAATTGCTCTATAAATAGAGCACTCCGCATGTAACAGAAATGAGATGAAGAAGAAATACAAGAGAGAAATATCAATAACATCATATATTCCTCTGCCTTTTAATATTTGTCTGTGCTATAGTTTTTGTGTGGCATTTTACATCTACCTTGCACCTACCACTTAAAAGGTTATCTCTCAAACTTTAACCCTTTTATAACACGTTATCAGCACGAGTCTCTAAATATATTTATTCTCTCATCTCTCTTCGCCGAATGAACGAAAGAAGAAAAAAAATGTTTCCTTTAAGGTTTTTACTGTTCATCTTCTTCCTCTGCCTCAACTGCGCCGTGTACCCTCGCGACGAGTTGTTTGCTCCATGCCTGCTCATAGTTCTCCAACTAACGGTTACATACATCTTTGATTACTTGTTTGGTGTAGAGATTGATTACTAACCTAGTATTTATTTGTGTTAATTCTACTGCAATCCAAGATGGTGCGGTACAATCGCCCATCTTGAACTGCAAATTTAATCTTACTGCGATCCAAGACGGTGCGGTATCATCGCCTATCTTGGACTGCAGATTTAATTTTACTGCAATTTTTAGGTGGAGCGGTATAATCGCACACCCTACCCTGCATATTTGAATTTACCTGCTGTTTAATTTCATTGCAATTTTATGTGGTGCGGTATAATCGCCTACGCTGCTCTGCATATTTAATTTTCCTGTTACTTGAGTGGTGCGGAATAATCGCCCATTCTATATTACATTATTTCAATGAGAATGGTGCGGTACGATCGCCCTCCTCATTCACCCTGAAAATCTCGAACCAGAAGTTTCGAGTGCTTATCATTTTGGCCTGAAGATCAAAAATGAAAAATTTGTAAGAACCAGAAGTTCTAACATCATATTCCTCCAGGAATACATATTATTGCAAGTTCTTACACATCTCATTTTCTTTCAGAAAAGAAAATGGCGAACTTGGCGAAGCTTGAATTTGCTGCCCTGGGTATTACCGGGAAGAATTATCTGACCTGGGTACTGGATACCAAGATCCATCTGGAAGCAGGGAATCTTGGAGATACCATCAGGGAAGAGAGCAACTCATCCTCTCAAGATCGGGCAAAGGCCATGATTTTCATTCGCCGCCATCTTGATGAGGCGCTAAAGAGCGAGTACTTAACGGTTGAAGATCCGTTAGCTCTCTGGAATGCCTTGAGAAGCAGATACAATCACCAGACAAC